TTATTTATTTATTTATTTATTTATTTATTTATCTTGTTTGTAAACCTAGGGTATTGTACTCATTTTTCTGAAATGAAAGAAAAGTCGTTGCTTTACTCCTGAGGACATAGGCAAATTGTCGAACCTCGTTAAATCTCTGTTTTTTCTTCTTGAATTGTGTCGATTCTTGTGTTTTTTTGCTCTAAAATTTTCAACAAGTGGTATTAGAGCGAATTCTAAAGCGAAGGAGACTGTCGCAGGAAGGTCGAAGAAGAATTCGGTAATTTGGCAGAATAATTTGGTGAGGGCGTCAGAAGGCGCGGGTTCAGTTTGGTGATGTCGATGTAGGCAGACGGATTGCGGCAGAGGAGCAAGATCGTTTCTGTGAGGGATTCTTTCGTGAATCGCAAATAGCGATAGGAAAAGATCGCGGCTGAAGTAATTTGCGATGGAAATGTCTGGTGCAAAATTTGAAGTAATGAAGTACGATGGAACTATAAACTTTGAATTGTGACAAATAATGGTGAAAAATCTTTTGGCACAACAATGAATCTTGAAGGCTTTAAGAGCAACAGACCTGATAATATGGAATATGAAAATTGAGATGAATTACAACAACAAGTGGCAGGTATCATACGTTTATATCTGCCAGATGAGATTATGTATCATGTTATAAATCTAAAATCTCGAGGAGAAATATGAAAGAAATTGGAAACTCAATTGATGTCCAAATCTTTAACGAATAAACTGTATCTGAAGCAAAAGTTGTATGAGATGAAGATGCAAGAGACTCTGATTTGAGGCATCATGTGAATGTTTTTAATCAAATGATCACAGATTTATCATGACTTGATGTGAGTATTAAGGATGAAAAACAAACAATGATTTTGTTGTGTTTGTTGACTTCTTTTTATGAACATGTAGTAATTGCTCTTACATATGAGAAAGAAACAATCAAAGTTGATGATATTAATGTGGCATTGTTGATTCACAACCAACGTAAGAAGAATGCAGGGGAAAGCTCTCATGGTAATAGTTTATATATTAAGAGTAATTATGAGCATGGAAGGAAGAAAGAGAAGAAGGGTTCTGGAAAACAAAATTTAAAATCAAAGTCTAAAGGCAGAAAGAAGATTCATTGTTACAAGTGCAAAAAGATTGTCTAGAGCTCAAGAAGCAGACTGATGAGAAACGTGATGCATCATTCAAGTCTGTAAATGTGGTGCAGAGTGACAAATTCAGATTGCAGTGATGGTGATACGCTTTTAGTTTCATGAATTCAGTTCATTGATGCATGAACTCTTGATTTAGGATGTTTTTATCACATAACACCTAACAGAGACTGGTTTACTTCATACAGATCTTCTAATTTTGACTTCATCCATTTATGTGATGATAGATGTTGCAATATTGTTGGTATTCCTGAATTCATGATTAAGATGCATGTTGACACTGTTATAACATTATGTGATGTCAGACATATTCCATATTTCAAGAAGTATTTGATTTTCTTAGGCACTTTACATAGAAATGATTTTATTCTTAAAACAAATGAGGAAAGGAACACTATCAGAATTGTTAAGAGTGCATTGATTGTGATGAAAGAAAAGTTAACTATACGAAATATCTAAAAACTGTTGGGGAATACAGTTGCAGGTGGAGTTCATTCTGTTGAGTCAAATGATGATAATACAAAACTGTGACACATGCATCTTGATCATCTTAGTAAATGTGGGATGGTTGAATTGCATAAATGAAATCTGTTGCATGATGTTAAAAGTTGTAAGCTCAATTTTTGTAAGTTTTGTGTTCTTGGAAAACAGACTTGAGTCTATTTCATGACTGGAAAACACAAAACTAAAGGGATTCTTGATTATGTGCATTTGGATGTATGGGGCTCTACCAAGGAATCTTCGTTAGGAAGATCTCTATATTTTGTTACTTTAATTGATTTTTTAGAAATTTTTGGTGTATTTCTTGAAAAAGAAATCTGAAGTTTTCTCAAAATTCAAGTTGTGCAAGGCTGAGGCGAAGAACCAAACTAGTAGAAAGATCAAGAGTTAGAAGTCAAATAATGACATAGAGTACACAGATTCACAATTTTAGAATTTTTGTCAGGAGCTTGGGACTCAGAGGCATTTTTCAGTTCTCAAGACACCACAATAAAATTGCATTGCAGAAAGGATAAACAGGTCTTTAATTGAAAGGGCAAGATGTTTGAGACTGAATGCATAACTTCTTAAAAGTTTCGGGGCAAAGGTTGTGAATAAGACATGTTATCTCATTAATAGATATGCTCGGGCATCATTGGGTGGCAATGTCGCAGAAGAGGTATGAACATGTTATGCAGTTAATTTTGATTACTTACGAATTTTTTGTTGTCCTGCTTATGTGCATATACATTGTGATGAAAGATAAAAAATTGATCCAAAATTCAAGAAGTGCATCTTTCTAGGCTACAAAAATGGTGTGAAAAGATACAAGTTTTAGGACCCCGATTGCAAAAAATATGGTGATCAGTAGAGATACCATTTTTTGATGAATAGTTCATGTTGCAGCAACATCAAGACAAGATGCCAAAAAATAGTTCTAATTCATATACAGTGCTTATGAATTTAAAAAAACATTCAGAAACAATTGAGAGAGTTGAAAGTTCAAATCAAACACCTGGTGATTCCAATACAGATGACTTGCAGAATTACAATCTATCTAGAGATAGACAAAGACACACCAATATAAAGCCTCTAAGCATATTGTGTTATGAAGACTTGGTCTTTTGCGCGCTTCTGATCAGTAGTGATGATCCAATCACTTTTCAATGAGTTATCACCAGCCACGAAAAAAAGAAATAGATGAGTGCAATGGCTGAGGAGATGGAGTCTTTGCAGAAAAATCACACATGAAAGCTAGTTCAGCTTTCTGAGGGAAAGAAAGTTATTGGGTGCAAATGATTGAGAAAGTTATTGGGTGCAAATGATTGTACAAAAGGAAAGCAGGAGTATCAGAAAAAAGAAGGGGAAAAGCTCAATGATTGATTGATAGCAATGGGGTTTTTATAGCAGAAGGAGATATATTATAATTAAATCTTTTCTCC